GTAGTGGATGCAAGAATTCCTAGTGGCTGAAATGTACATGAAAATACTGTAAGGTAGATAGGTGTAAGCCAGGAGCAGCTTCACTGAAAATCAGTTGGGTTGCACAAGTGGAAAACAAAACAGGAGAATCATATTCATATTCCAATTCCTAGGCATAAGGGTTCCATTAAATTAATACAAAACAACCCCTGAACACCTTGTGCCCACTTACACTTCTTGTGGCTAGCCTGCCTGACCCTAAACGCAGGAAGCTGTTTTACCAACTGTCTGTGGTGGGGGCACACTGCAATCGCTGTTAGCTACGCACAGCTGCTGATGACCTATTACGAGGGACGAGCAAACCGTCCGACTCTGGGAATTTCAGCTAAGCAGCCTCCCCTCCCCCGCAATTCTGACTTGAAATCCAGAGTGTGCAAGTCTCACGCTCAAAACGGGATAGTCAGGATTCGATTTACCTGAGCCTTGTCCCTTAAAGTATCTGAAGTCTGCTGAGCGGCTCAGAGGAGATTGCTCTGGAAGGATCGAGCAGCAGTGGGGTTTGTGCAAGCTCTGCATGTGGGTTTTTTTTTTTAAATACCGAATTTAATAAAACACCAGTTTTTAAAAGACTTACGTTCCCAGCCTAGGGACAAACCCAGACCAGAATGTTCATGAGACCAAACGCTCGAGAGATTTCCAACCCTTCAACTGCGGAGTGAGGCAGCATGGCCTAGTGGATAGAGCACTAATCTGGGACTCAGTATACCTGAATTCTATTCCCAACCATGCCAGTGACTTGTTGTGTGACCTTGGGCAAGTTACTTTCTCCCTGTGCCTCAATTTCGCCATCTGTAAAATGGGGATATGGACACTGACCTCCTTTGTAAAATGCTTTGAGACCTAAAGAAAGAAAGATACTATGTAACAATAAGATGTTATTATTAATCGTCACCCTTCCTGAACAATGCTACTAATCCATTACCCAACAACAACAAACCCTGTTTGTAGGGTTTCTTCAGAATTTTAAGCTAAATAAAAACAAAACAAGCTCCTTGGGGCAAGGACCATCTTTTGTGTTCTGGGTTTGTACAGCACCTGGCATAATGGGACCTAGGCCATGACAGGAGCTTCTAGATGCTACCACAATACCAATGCTAAAATATGTATGTTCAAAATTTAGATGCTGATTTAAAGAGAGATTGATTGAGATTAAAAAAAAAAAAAACACTAAAGGAAAGATGTTCAATTGAATTTTACCTACAAATCAAGTTGTGGGTGTGAGGAGGAGGCCTTTACACTTTTACTTACATTTAAAAAAAAAAGGGGGGGGGGATATTTCCATCAAACCCTCTTCTTGCATTCAAGAGGCAACATTTGTTTTTAAAACCAAAAACAGTCCCTCTGCAGCCCAACATTGCAGACCTGGTTTAGTGCAAATGAAAACAAAGTGGACTAGAAACTGACAGTACACCAGGTGAAACTGACTAGTCTGTTCTGGATGTCCACTTTCAGACCTCTGCAGGAAGTGAGCAGGTTGGGATTTTTAAGATCCCTTCAGTTTTAATAAGCTATGGCTGAGTTAGTAGGGCAGGTAAGGTACTAAATTCTTTCCCCTACTGCATTCCCTTGATATTGTGGCAGCGTTGATCCAGTCAGGGTGGAATTTTCAAAAGCACCTCAGTGACATAGGAGGACAAGTCTCATTTTCAAAAGCGACTTGGCACTGACAAGCCATTGACATCATTGTCGACCTGGGCTGGAAGGGTCACTGGGTATGTAGACATACCTTGAGTCACTTGGGATTCCAAGTACAATGCTCTCCATCCTCGCAAGGCAGTCCCCATAATAGAATTTCAGCCTACAGAATTGACCCCCTGATGTCCTGTCTGTCTCCCCTTCTGACCAAATGCTGCCCAGGCACCAGAGGGCATTTCCCCAAGTTAAAATTATTACTTCCATCACAGCAGCACCCAGAAGCCCTTACTAAGATCAGAGCCCTGCTGTGCGAGGTGCTGTACAGACGCTGCTCCAAGAAGCTGACAGACAGGACAGACAAGGTGGGAGGGCAAACAGAGGCACAGAGACATGGTGACACCCCAGGAATAGCACCCAGGTCTGCTGGCTCCCTATTGGCCACCCTGTGCTGATTGCACCAGGCTGTCACGAACTTTAAGGGGCTCTCTTGATTGTTTTGTTAGACGGTAAATTTTGGAGTTTGCTTCAAATCACAGGCAGGCGAGATCTATGGATGATGGGTCTCTTTTGGGGCAAATTGCCTCCACTCCATATGGAAGATCTACATGATCCTAAAAATCAGCTTATTCAGGTTGAGATCTCCTGCAGGATTGTAGCTATTGTGTAGACAATGAATCTCCTCCCCTGTGCGCCCGGCCCCCCCAGCTTCGTTAGAAAATCCTGGGGCTTGGATTACCACCAGACGGGCACAAGTGAGCCCAGAAACCACCTCTCACATGTTAGATCTGGGCTTTGAGCTCTGTGCCATTATTGGCTCTAAAGCCTTTCACGGCTTCTCACGTCCCCGTTAGGAAACGGAAAAACCAGCGGCTTAGACGCAGACGGGACTCCCTAGGGATTAGAAGGCAGTCATCACAAATGGGGAGGGGAAATCTTTTACAACAAAACATCACCTCATCTTGCACCCGCAGTGACCTCTCAGAGCCAAAGTCCACCCTTTGCAGTGCGTGTTTCCGTTGCTGGGCCCTGCAAAGCGTGCTCTCAGATAGAATAGAGCCCATAAATTATGAATGGTCATTCAGAGATAAGTGATCCTTGAATCTCTATATCAAATTACTTATTATTTGCCTCATGGTAATGCCTAGAGGCCCCAAGAAGCGTCCTGTTGGGCTAGGCACTGTACACGCATATAACGAGAGAGGCGCGCCTGACCTAAAGTGTTTAAAATGGGAGTTTTGCCCCAACTTCAATAGGTGCAGAATCAAGACGACAGGAGGATGCCATAAATGGGGGAAAACACAAGTAATAGTGGACTCAAACATCTAAACAGGAAGTTCTCTCCTTCCTCACCCACCTCAATTGCGGGACCCTGTAAAGGGAAAGGAAGAGCCCCACATGGACAACCAAAGAAGCGCGAAGGGCCAATGATTAGAATTCGGCACAAAAACCACGGGTGTAGTTTTGATTTGGGTTGGACAGCCCCGTCATTCTAAAGCCACAGCTCATTCTCATCCCTGGCCCATTCCGCCCGGGTGGAATGAAAGAAGCTGTTTATTCAACCAACTGAACCGGCACCAAACGCTTCCTTTCCAAATTCATGAGATGAAACAAAGCAGAGAGATACGAGGACTTGAGCAACGTAGGACTGGACTCTCCTCTCATGCCAGTATAAAATAGAGGGCAACTCCACTGAAGTCAAGGTGATAAAAAATGAAGCAAGTACAAGGAGAATAATGCATTTAGTATCTAGGGCACAGCAATTTGGGAGCAGGTAACACATACCTGCACAAGAGAGATAAGCTTTCTAATTTTAGCACAACTCCAGTGCCTTATGGGAGAAAAGGCCAGGCAGAGAATGGAATGGAGAAGTTGTTGGGAATTTGGAAAGGTGGCTGTTGAGCAATAGTATCTCACACACAGAGACTGGTGTCTGGCTGGCCCACGTTCCACCTATTTGCAAGGCAAAATACGTGTTGCAAAAAATACCACATTCCCGAGAACACCATTGCATGCGTGCATACAACCGCAGCCATAGCTCGCAACACTTCTCCCACGTACCAGTTATCCTGGTCTACTGGACAGTATTGGACCCAGGAGATGGGATCCAACTCTCCACCAGAACCTGGAGGAAGTTCAGACCCAGATATGAACTTGACAACTCAGTCCCTCTCAGATCCACTCTAAAGGCTGTGAAGGAATGGCGCTAGCAGTTGCCAAGCGTTTTTCAGTGTGTAAATCGAACAAATCCAATATAGACACAGGCACTTAATGCTTGAGCCATGAAGAATCTCTGTTCGCAGTATGAGGACTATGACATGCAGTTGAGCAGATATGATTCCATCCACCAGAGGGTAGCCACACACACTAGCCAGCCCACTAAAAGATGCATTCATGTAAAAGAAGGTACTCACCCAATCCCCTCTTTGCACCACCCAGACACAGATACAATGGAATAAGGCGACATCCCGGGGGATCATTTACACACGACTACTAGCATGCTATCCACACTGACCAGCAAGGCTCTGCATGGACCCTGTAATTAACATTACAGTAGCTATCAAAAGCCTCAACTGGGATTGTGCTGGGTGTTGTACAAATACATCAGCGATGGTCCCAAAGAACTAGCAACAGCATTGTTTGCTCATGGGTACAAACCAGCATGCACCCTGGAGAAGACCCTATTTCACTACACTACAAGTCAGCACTTGGTTATGAGCCAGCGCATAGGAAAAGACTATTCTGTCTGTTGGTTATTTAAATGGCTAGCAGCAGGCTGGAAACTAAGACCTTTATGGGCTGGATAAGCAGTGCACAAACTAAAGTGAATTCTCTCCGCTATTGCTCTCGCAATGGCTTCACGCTCAATATGATGGAATGAAAGGCAGAGAAAAGAAATGACCTCTCTTCCACGCGGTCCTCTTAAACCAGCCCTACCAAATCACACATATGATCTATCCACTTATTAACATGGTCAAGAGTAATACATTGACGGTAGGGCATTAAACAAGAATCAAGTTATGCCCTGGCAAAGAGGCCAACATTACATGCAGTAAGATAACCCCAGAAACATTTCTGGATTTTTTTGCACTTTCAAGCACAGATCTCAGCCCCATGGCCGAGGCATTTTCCAAGCATCTGAGCTGGAGGACTACTGGAGAGGGCCAGGAAACAGGATACAGGCATGATGAGAACATCTGTGGGGACCACTGGGTATGATTAGGAAAACCAGAAGGGGTGGCTGAGAGCTAATTCGGAGCTCTGGATGCAGAAGATATGGTTGAAATTGTGCAAGGTCTAAGGTTAATATATTACATCAGTGAACTTACCACTCAAGGCAGATGTTGTGTTCTCCAAGGCATGGCACACAGCTAGTAAAATACCTAGGGAAAAATTTCAAATACAGGTCAGAAACAATACAACAAGCAACAAATTGATTTAAACAGTCAAGAGAGACACAGAAGATCTTTCAGTTTCTAGCTGCGGGGGCAGAGTCAAAGATGCAAGAGACCTACAGGTTTTTAAATGAGTCAATGGCTTTTGGGACATATCCCTATGTTTTCAGCTCAGAAAGGATCATCTCTAACTATACACATACATACACCCAAGATATCCAAGTTTATGTATAATGCAATAGATACACACACCTGATCTATACAGGTATCGATGGATGGAAGTATTTTCCCCAACAAAACCATACAGGAGTAGGAGCAGCAATCATACTTTGAACATCCATGAAAACTTTCATCCTAGGATCTCAAAGCAGGTTTAAATATTAAATCTCAGTACCCCTGCATGGTAGTTTTAAATATCCAGGTAGAGATTAGGAAGCTGACACACACACAGAGGTTAAACAACTTGCCTAAGGTCACGCACCGCTAGGGTTTGATCCAGTGCCCATTGTGGTCAATGGACAAGTCAGTTGCAGAACTGGGAAAAGGACCCACGAGTCCTGACTCCCAGCTCCAACCAGTGGCTCAAATCTATCCAAACCCAAAGAACTGTGTGTACTGTAAGCCCTCTTATCCAAAGATTCCCCATCTCAATTAAATAGCCTTTTTTATTTGAAACCCAGTTTATCGCATGAATTCCACACTCCCTAATTCTGTTGAGATAAGCAGAGTTCCAGCTCTTATGTTACCAGTTGCAAACAACTGTTCATAAAAATGAACAAAATGTGCACCAGAAAGGCAAACTGGCGGTAAGAATGAAAGCACTATCCTAACACGAAGCCTACAGAGCCATATGGGTCTGCATATAATGGAAGGATTCTAAATAATCCTTGTTTTAAGAGGATTTAAAGGGGGAGGAGAAAGCTACACACACTATATATTTCTGAAGGTCATTCTTTTTCCATGCTGAGAGTTAGGAGGAGGAAATTGACCACCAGAAGCAGAACTAATAGCAAATCTAGAAAACAATTAGGATTAATTTAGATTCAGCTTTCTGGAACTGCAGGCACAGTGGAAATGCAAAGCCAGGTTTCATTGCTGTAATAAGATGGGTCACTGAGCCCGGGAAAAACAGAGGTTGGAGCCAGATTTTGTTCAGGCTGAAGTGCTGGTTAGACCCACCAAATTTAAAGCCAGAAGGGACCACCAAATCATCGAGTCTGACTTCCTGTAGATCACAGGCCAGAGGATGAAGAGGAGGGGTATGGTTTGGACGGCTTACATGATTTTGGAGCTTTTGCTGTGAGACTTCAGGCTGAAATAGTGGCTATTTCACCAGATCAGCTCATTTGGCAGAAGGTTAAATAGTGAATCACATGATCAAGAGATGGGTCTCCTTGCAAGGATAACCCATTCTGGGAGATTTAAAAAAAAAAAAAAAAGCGTTAGAACTGCCTTTTAATCTCTCTTGGAAATAAGGCCATGACAGCAAGCTGGGATCCAGAAATCGGGATGCCAATACCTCTTCCTGAAATTGAGGGGTTCAGATTGAAGGTCCTGGTTTGGGCCCTAATTAAGCAGAGCCATGTGAAACTCAACCATTTCCAGTCTGCAGGATTCTCTAACCTTTTCTTGATTTCGGTTCATGCAGCAATTGAACCTCACCCTCCTGAGTCTTGGTCAAAACAATCCCCAAACCTAAACCAACACTCAGCTGAAGCCAGTTAGTGCGGCTGGTTGGAGTCAAACCCACCAAGACTCTACTAGAAATCATTCAATGCCTCTTGCTCAAAGGGCTCATAACCCCTAGTGAGACTGGGCTGAGTACTAGGTCTGGAATGAAAAACACACGTCAGATAAGCTGGGAACGTTGCAAACAGGTGCCCAGTTATGAACGCTCGGCTGCCAAGTTGAGATTGGAGCTACATTGCACCCACAAAAACAGAAGAAGAGGTTCAAAGAACAATTGTATGAGGATAAGGGCAACTCACTCTGCCTCCTAGATGTTACACATGTTTGTTTAAAGATATGGCCCTTGGAATGCTGGCATTTCCCCAAAATTCAGCTAGATGGAGCACCCTGCTGGACTTCCTGGTGACAGCACACAGAGTGTTAACAACAAGCGTATCCAAACTCAGCTGGGAACCTTTCCAGCACCACCTTTGCATGATTTGCGCAAGAGAGAATGCTAGCTCATAGACCAACACCTCCACAAGTTGCCCTCCAGCTAAGCTGAGCTGTGACTCAGAGATAGGCCACCAGCAGGTGCAGAAGGTTTTCTATGTCCTTCAGCTTCAAGCTGGCATACAGACATGAGCTCCTTCAGAGCTCTCGGCTGGGCTTTAACTCCCATGAGGAAATATAAACAGGCAAAAATTATTAGCTAGATCAGGTGTTGGAACCTGTTAAAAATTGATCATCCCACCTAGTTCAAATAGATGCTTCTCTCTGTGGAGTTTTGTAAGGCAGCTGAATACACACACACACACACCCAAAAATGTTTGCTGTTAGACAGCCAGTGATCTCTTGAAACACTGTGCCACTGACTACTCTAATTACAGTTTGCTGTGTTGTTGTCTGTATCTGCATGTTGGTCCCAGGATATTAGAGAGACCAGGTGGGAGAGGGAATCTTATTGGTCCACCTTCGCTTCTGTTGGAGAAAGAGACAAGCTCGCCCGCTGTGTAGAGCTCGTAACTGAAGAGCAGCTCTGAGTAGCTGGAAAGTTTGTCTTTTTCACCAACAGACGTTGATCCAATAAAAGATATTACCTCACCCACTTTCTCTCTCCAGCTCTTTAATTAGGTGGGGTGATAGCTGCCTTTGATTGTAGGAACATAGGGATTGCTAAATCAGATTGGGCTCATAATCCATCCAGACCGATGGCCATTTCTGAGAGTGGCCAGCACCACTTGCTGCAGAGGAAAGTGCTAGAAATTCCACAGCAGGAAGATGTGCTCTCATCCCAATCACTAGGAGTTAAAGATTAGTTTAAATCCCAAAGCATGAAGTTTCACATCCCTTCCAAAGCTCTTCTTTTAGAGCTATTCTAACTCTTGACATTCTTGTTATCCATATTATTGCCCAGTCCCTCTTCAGCCAGATTCAGTCTTGCCCTCCACAACATCCTGTGGCAATGAGTTCCACAGTCTACCCTGGTCAGAAAAAGTATATTTCTTTTTACCAGCTTTGATTTTCTCATCTCAATTCCACTCAAAGTCAAGAGGGGGCTACTGGTGGGAGATTCTCTGTGGCTTTGGAATTCTATACCCGCCCCCTGTCTGAAACGAGCCCAACATGATTACTTTCAAGGCATGTCACAAAGCACATCTTTTCCCCCAGCTGCTGGAAAACTGAGCAGGTTTGGAAAAGTGGGGAAATGTTAGAGGGGGAAAATTTAAGCTTTAACTAGTCTGGCTTGATGGTGGCAAGTTCTACCAAATTGTATTGTGCTTCATTATTTGTAATGTACTTGCAAGTTACATGAAGGACACAAAGCTTATGTATGGATGCCCCTTGTACAAACACTGAAAATAAGCCCCCAAAGCCAAAGAAATAAATTAAGCCACAATTGAAAAAATTATCCCAATCTAGGACAGCACTTATGCGTGGAATCAGAGAAATGTAGGGCTAGAAGAGACCTCAAGAGGTCAATTAGTTCAACTGCCTGCACTGAGGCAGGACCAACTATACCTAGACCATCCCCGACAGGTCTTTGTCTAACCTGTTCTTAACAGCCTCCACAACTTCCCTAAGTAACCTATTCCAGTGCTTATCTATCCTAGGTAGAACATTTTTCCTAATATCCGATCTACATCTCCCTGGCTGCAAATTAAGACAATTATTTCTTGCCCTACCCTCAGTGGGCATGGAGAACAATTGATCATAGTCCTCTTTATAACAACCTTTCACATATTTGAAGACGTATCACATCTCCCCAGCCCCAGTCTTCCCTCCCCCGCCCCCCACCCCACCCCCGACTAAACTGGCCAATTCTTTCAGCTTTTCCTCAGAGCTCATGGTTTCTAAACGTCTCATTTTTGTTGCACATGCCCAAGTCGCACTGAAGTCAAGGAGTGCTTAAAGTTAAGTGCCCTGGATCAGGCCCTAACACTGCTTCAGAGCAACGCCTTGCTGAAAATATACCAAGGCAGACAGCACAAGCTTAGCACTATTCTAATTCTTGACATTCTTGTTGTCCATATTGACGCCAAATCCCTCGTGGTAACCAGAGATGTAAATACACCTCATCCAGGATTTCAAATAATGGACCTGCCAGGGACTCCATTACCTTGGGCCACAGGTTCCTTTTTCTCATTAAAGGATGGACTTTTCCACTTCCTCCCACAAGTGGGGTTTTTATCCTCTCAGCATCCGAAAGCTTACATTCACAAACCACAGACTGCCTAGGTTCAGTCACCCTGTGATTGCTTGAGGTCAGTGATTCACACAAGCGAAGCCTGACAGCTGCGTAAATAAGGTTTTAGGTTACCTAGAGCAAACTATGGCTAACATACCCGACTACACGGCAGATAGGGTGGTGAATTTAGGTGCGTGCACTGCGGTAGCTGTAATGCAATCTACTGTGGGATCATCACGCTTTCCCATGCAGAGTCACCTAGCTAGGACATCGGCATTAGATAGAAAGTTGAAAGTACCAAGGCCGGGCTTTTCAAAGCAGCCTAATGGGATATTCAATTCAAATGGGATCTGGTTACCTAACACTCATAATCGTCACGGAAAATCTGCAGCTTTCCCAAGACAAAGACTGAGTTTCACAACGCAAATTCTCACCACTGGTTGCTAGCTGGGATTGAACCCAGGACCTACAACTTCAAAGTTACAAAGTCTGCAACTTGAGTCAAAGGAGTAATTTCACCTGTGTTTCTGGTCCTGAAGGGACTGGTCCTCACTGATGACCTGCAATAAGTAGATGCCACAGATACATGGCCATGAGGGATATACTGAGACCATCACCCATTGGTGAGGCT